TTAAGGCCACTTTTGAAGCGAACAAAATCATAATGTATTCAAAAAACAATTACAATTCAGACTATAATCACAAAACAAACTTATTGTAAGAAATCGATACATAAACTCATTTTAATATAATTGTAATATTATTTCAAACGGAATCATAACTAAATAATAAAAAGTGATTATAATTTGTTTCATTGTTTTCTATTAAATAAAATAAATAAAATCTTTTATTAATTCGAAATATAAACTCATTTGAATTGAATTCATAAATTATTTAATTCTACAGGGTACAGTGAATATCAATATTATCGTGTACTCTCATAATGACGCAACCATGGTGAGTTCAGGAATATTACCCAAGGTGCTCATAAAAAAGGCCCTGATAAATAAAAATTTAATTATTTTGAGAATCATAGGGCTATTGGTTTAGAACTTATAGGATATTTGATTCAAAGTTGGGCATTAATTCATTTATTCAATGATAAACTCGTATACAATATCTAACAGTGAGTTAAAAGCATTGAAACTAATGACAAAATCCAACTTTGAATTTATTGGAAAGTACTTTATATTTCGATATAAAGTTTGGCCAAATAGGAGCCAATGAGTGAAAGGACTGTCAAACTGTTGCCAACTATTCACCGGTTTATCGATAAATATTAGATTAAAATTCTCTGTTTGTGAGCACATGTCTGATAAGACTTGCATTTACTGTTAAATCGTCTTAAATCCTCAACTTTTCATTTCTTTCACATCTAATCTACACTTTGTATGAGTTTTATCCCAGGAATCCATTCATAAGTTATTGGTTACTGAGTTCATCCTATACTAAGATATCAGAGATTAGTAACATATTTGAAAACAGGTCAGTAATATCGCGAAACTTTACTAAACTTTAGATTTAACGCTAATTTTGTAAAATCATTTGACACCAAGTGGTCGATCATATGATTGACACGACTTGTAATCGCATTAACGACTGAAACGTTGCTTTAAATTGACATTTGCTTTATAGGAGAGGACAGGGATTGTAATCGTGAAGCCCTCACAGCAAGTGATCACTAATTAAGTGCCAATCAGTCCATCAGTTTCATAGACAACTCAGTCATCAATGCCTCCGAACGCGTGCTTTCAAAGAAGCGATTGTATGAGCCGTGAGGGGATGGGATGGCCGACCCCCACGTGGGCCCCACGTCTTGCCGATGGGGCCGACCATTACCTGCCATATGATCGGTGCTATGAAGTGGCCAAACAGATACTGGCAGTCAAACAGATCAATGAGTTGGACCACAACGAAGACATCGATAGAGTTGTCTCGTTTATGGACCATAATTGGGATCACAACCAGTCTTTCGCTGCAATGGACACTAAGTCTACAGATTATGAAGTCTATAATCCAATGCTATTCACATCTATTGGCCCACAAATGTGTCCACCGATGGTCTATGAAACCATTGAACAGCCAATGTATGAGCCGATGGTTAGCCCACCCGTTGGCCAATCATTGTATCCATCGATGGACCACAAACTCCATGACAAACGACCGCAAAGTTTGGGGAACAGTAAGTCCAACGACAAGAGAGACAAGTTATTCACGGCCACAGTGTCGGTGCCCTCATCACACCACGTGGCACAGATAGTCGGCAAACAGGGTAACTTTTTGGCCATTGCTTTATTATAATACTAACCATTCAATTAACTTATGACTGTTTTGTGACAAATAATGCTTTTTTTGAAACAAAGGCTCAAAAATAAAGTTATTGCGTCAGAAGTCTGGGGTACACATCCAGACGCCCGTCAATGGACAGGAGCCGGTCTTCATAATAACGGGTGATCGCCATAAAGTGGAGGAAGTGAGGGCTGAGATCCAGTCGGCGTCCCTTCACTTCACGGCCGTCGATGAGGAGCGCAAACAGAAATTCAAACATAACTCCGATATCCCCGGTATGTATGGCTAGGTTTGGGACGGGAGCCACAACTCAAACATTATGTTAATTTTGTAGCTTTTGTGAGTTTTGAAAGTATTTTTACATACTTATGGAGTAATGGATTTTCAATTCAAATGACTATTTTGTAATTCAAAATGCATTTAAAATATTTGAATTTTATTTTCCAAATAATTTAGTGAATGAGTCACTCGAAAGTGGTTTTGAGTTGTTTTCCTTATTTTCAATGAGTTTTGAAACTTTTCTTATGACTAAACTGATTACTATTTTGACGTGAACCGACCAGGATCCATTTGCGTGAACCTGCGAACCCCGAACGATTTGATTGGTCTGATTGTGGGTCGAAATGGGGCCACAATTCGCAACATTCAGAAAGTATCGGAAACTTATATCGAAACCCCGAAAGAGAGTCACAATCAGTGGTTCACAATGACTGGTCTGACGGCTAATGTCGAAAATGCTAAGCATATGATCGCCGAACACGTGAGCCTTAAGACCAACAGACACTTCTATATTGATCTCATGCCAAATGGAGACAATATATTGACTTCATATCAATGATAATCTTTAGGTTTAAATTTGTCCCGTGATTACTAGTTTGTAGGATTTAATTGTTTCCTTATTATTAACCTTTTATTTCCAAATAGCAATTGAATTCACATTTTTACAAAATCCTAACACATATCTTATGCATGTTATCCTTAACTATTATTATTATTATTCTGATTGTTTTTTGTGATATTTATGTGATGACTATTTTACGCACACTATGTGTTAATCTTATGTTAAGACTATTTGTTATATTTTGAATAATTACAAATATTTAATTTTCATTTCATTTATTTCGATAATTTTTTTTCATTAATTATATTGTCTTTTAAGACTGTTTTGTTGAATGCTATGAAACTAATTGATATTCTTTATACAAATTAAGCATTTGATTGAAATTATCTTGAAGTTTAGGGTTTGATAAGAAATTTGTTGTAAAACTTTGTTAACGAAACACTGAATATTATATTATACTGTATTTGTCATTTAATTTATACTTATTACTTGAATTGTTGCAACTTTTAATCAAAAACTAATGTTTTAAGCAAATTAATCTGATTTTTAAAAAATATTTGTTAAAATTTATGTTAAATCTGTTTTGNGCGTATGTCACCATGTTAAATTCCTATGTACGATGGGCGTGTAGGGGGGGAGGGGGGTCAACTTTTGATCAAAATTTTGCGTACGTACTTTATGCATGCCGCCTAATGTTCAGACAAATGGTATGACCACTACATTAGAGTGGACTCTAATCTCTGAAAAATGTTCACCTACAGCACAATACTGTTTAGTCGTTTACAGATTAGAATAAAGCATTTGGTAATAACTTTTTCAAACAAACTCTCATAAACTATAATACAATTAAATTAATGAATAATTAATAATAAAAACAGTATTCAAGTGATCCGATTCTTAGAGTATATCGGTTTCGAAGATCTTTTGATTGTTGGCATCCGTGACGCCATTGTGCGCCACTGTCTTGTGGGCCAAATCCCGGAGCGAGCCGTGAACTGCACTCATGTTGAATGAGGCCTTCGACACGATATTACTCTCGGATCCGGTCTTCTTGAGGTCGTTGAGTAGACCGCGCGGTATCTGTCCTCTACTCAACTGTTGCAGTCGTGTGTACTGTTCCTGTAGTTGTCTTTGTTTCTTAAGCAACTCCTGATGTCGTTGTTCCAGCAATTCCTGTCTGGACTGAGCGAATCGCTTCTCCACGACAGAGCCCTGACTGCCCACCGATGATAGCGATGAGATGGACGACGAGGGGGGGACTGCTCCGTCCTCTCCATCGGTCATACCTGCAGGAAACGGCATTCAAACATCACATTGGATTACAATCTCTATGCACTTAAAGTTGTTTTTTGTAAATGTTGTGCTTTTTTGTAAATGTTATGCTTTGCATTGACTGCCACTATGTTTGCTGTAAAAGTGCTCTGAGAAGACAACGAAAGATTATGTATTCATTCATGTGTTCGCACACACAGTGTATGCGTCCACTCATAGCCACGTCTAGTGTCATACGAATTGTGTGTCAATAGCAGTGTTCATAATAATAGTCTAACGCTAGACGTGGCTATGAGTGGACGCATACACTGTGTGTGCGAACACATGAATGAAAAGATAATCTTACAATACTTTTACAGCAAACATAGTGACAGTGAATGCAAAGCATAACATTTACAAAAAACAACTATCATCGAATTAATGGCAATACCTTCCGGGGGTGTAGATCGGGGTCTATTAGCTGAGGGCTCTGAGTTAGACCTGATTGCAGAGGTCGGCGGCCGGACTGCAAATGATGTCAAAACTATAGGATTA